TGTAGTCATCCACAAATACTAGAAATTAGCGCCCTCGACGCGGCCCAAGGACGGGGGTTGGGCCACAAACGTCCAAGTGTAGGGTCTGGAGTGGCGCAGTATTGGGGGGAAACGAGAAGAAATGAGGAGCACGACGCATCCGGCCCTCGACGCAAGGCGTGCACGGAGGTGCGGGCGAGGGAAGGAGGGTAGGGAGCGATGCAGGGAGACCTAAGACAAGACTGTGATGGGACATGTGACGCAGATGCGGGAGAAGAGGGTGACCTAGGCGGTGGTGCCACAGAAGTGACGGGTGAGTGAGCGACCGACACGAGCAGGCCGTGGCGACCTGGGTAGATGCAGCCACCCTGGGGGACGCCCCCACCGGAGGGGACGTGGTGTGAGCGTGAACAGGCCAGGCACCGGGTCCCGGGGGAACGTGGTAAGGGGGGCACCAGTGGCAGCCTCGGTACAAGCTGTGCATCCCTCGTGGCCAAGGAACGTAGTGGTGACGCGGAGGTCCTGGAGATAGCCGACACCAACCAGGTTCCTGGAGAACGAGGGGATGTGCAAGCCTGTAAGCGAGCCCGAGGGAACAGCCGAACAGGGAAGGGTGGTGGAGCTACGTGCAAATACCGGACCTGAGGAGGGGTTAGCAAGTGCTATAACGGCAGGGGCGGCAAGTGGCGTGAGCGTAGTGCAGTCGCAAAAGAAGCAAGCAGACGCACCAGAGTCCAGCGTCAAGGAGAGCGCAATGGTAGCGGCAGCCGGCGGGGGCACTATTGTGGCGCCTTGGCTAAACAAAGCAGGAGATCCTATGCCTGACGTAGCAGGGTAGCCTAGACTATGCACAGTTGACACATCTAGACTAACACAAGGGAATAGGGTTTAGTGGCACTAGATTCATCAGCATACATGGCATACAAAGCATACATAATCTGATGCATGTCCATCTCAAAGACCGGCACACGACGACGTACCAAGCTTTGCTAGTCGGAGAGGTCCAGCGCAGGGATGAACGGGAGACGGAAGAGGTTGTCAAGGCGGTGGTAACACCAAGCTGCGGTGTGACTGGGACGGTCGCGCACGGTGCTGCGACGGGGGCCAATCTGGAGCTAGTTCTGGCAGGTCACTGCACTGAAACCGCCACCCGACGCCGAGTTGCGAGCGCTGCCACCGCGATCGCCACCACCAAGGACGCTAGACTACCACGACGACAGAGGTTCCCACGGCTGCTGCTACTGCTGTTGGGGCTGTTGCTATTGCGGCGGCTGCTACTGCTACTGCTGCTCCTGCTCCTGCGTTGGGGCATCAGCTCCGGTCCCCTCGTCGGCACCACCGGCACTCGCACCACCTTCGCCACCTCCGCCAACCCCGCCACCCCTCCCTTCGCCACGCCCCCCTTTGGGGCGGCGGCCCCTACCCTGACGAGACTGCGCAGAGGCCGCCGTGGTGGTCTCAGCAGCAAGGGCTGTCTCAGTGACTGCAACAGACAAGTCAGAGTAAGAGCACTGGGAGGGAGGACAGCCCTGGAAGATAGGGACAGCCGCGGTACCACTGGACTGAGCGATAGCACGCTGGCAAGTCTCTATCGCAGACATGGTGGTGACGAACTCTGTAAAGGTGACGTCAGCTGGGCAGAGGCCTAGGAAGTGGTCATGGGCAGTGGCTACGCGGTCGGGAAGACGCGTGGCAACGAAGTAGAGGGTAGCGCCGATTGGAGGATGCAGTACAGTGAGCTGAGCCTCAGTGCTAGCAGCGCGGAAGCTTGTTTCAAACGCGTGTAGGTGAGTGGCCAGGTCAGCGACAGTGGGGAAAGATGCGAGATCAGGAAAGAGTAAGGGGAGCAGGAAACAGCCGGCAGAGGCGAAGGAGGGAGTAGAGTAGCATGCAATGACAACATCTAAGAATTCTTGCACAATCTTGAAGCTCTGAAAGCGCGGAAGCTCAAACAGGGGGAGGGCGCGACTGATAGCAAGCTGCGCAACCGCGTCGCGCGACTTCAGACAGAGCAGGCGAGCTCAGCAGCTGCAAAGACCTCACGCTCAGCAGACGTGGGGGCGTAAGAGAGGGCAGCAGGCGGCCTGGGACAGGGGAGCTTACTGTCGACGTGGACGGCCAGGGACTGGCCATCCTGGCGCTGACCCCTCAGTGAGCGGCGGGGATCGGCGAGCCACGCCTCAAAGTCGATCACTCGACCCTCCGCATCCAGGCGGAGCACCGTGTCCGCCATCGCCATGGCTGCAGGAGTTGACAAGCGCTAGAGGTGGAGGAGGAGAGTGCAATGGAGCGCGGTGGAGAGCAATGGAGAGCGGTGGAGACCGGTGGAGACCGGTGGCAAGCGTCGGAGAGCAGTGAAGAGCGATGGAGAGCGGTGGAGAGTGGTGGAGACTGGCGGAGACGGCCCGTGCAGAGGGGGGAGCCAAGGCCGGCGGGTCGGGCTGGTAGTACAGCGAATCGGCTGCTCGGCGGCGCGGCATGAATAGAGCCGGTGGCGACTGGGGCTGGTGCAGACATGGGCCGGCAGGAGCTGGAGCCAGCAAGCTGGGGCTGGTGAGCGGAGGCCGACGAGCAGATGCTGGCGAGCAGAGGGCGGCACGAACAAGGGCCGGTGCGGGGTCAAGGCCGGCACGGACGCGAGGCCTGGGGGCGCAGGGCCGGCGCGGGCCGACGGGGCCGGTGCTAAGCGGCGGGGCTGGCGCGGGCTGACGGGGCCGGCGCGAAGCGGTGGAGCCGGCGCGGGCTGACGGGGCCAGCGCGAAGTGGCGGGACCGATGCGCGCGCAGCTCGGGCGCGGGTGCGGGCTAGGGCTAGGGGCTAGGACACGGGCTAGGGCTAGGGCTAGGGGCAGAAGCGTAAGCGGGGGGGACCTTACCTAGCGTGATACCATCTCAGAATAACGCAATGATTAGAATGAGGCATACAGGCAGGTTTTGTGCTATGGTGTTTTACTCTCTATGAGCATGCACCTTTCTAGCCTAAAAGAATATATGTATGTTGACATCCTCATGTATTGGCATCTTTGAAAACCGCGAATTTCTCTGTAACGTGTGGTATTGCTTGCTTTAAAGCACTATCAAGCTGCTTACAAGCCATTCGTACAATGTACACATGATCCCACTAACAGACATCAACGCTACTCATACAATCCGGATATGGACCCTTTGATGTATACATCCTACTCTTATCCCGCGATGTATGGTCCCATTCAATGGGATGTGTCCCTTGGATTACATTAGCGAAAATTTTATCCTAACGAACGCACTCGAAAACTTATCGCGCACCAGTGAGCTCTTTTCACGTTTTTTGGGTTGCGGAGCAACCTATTGCGATCGATCGGACGAGATTTTTTTCAAGTTTTATTTAAAAATATATATCATTTTTTATTATATTGAACTAAAAGATGGAGACTAGTGGCGAATATAGTAGGGATCATTACTATATAGATTCATTAGTTTTGCTATGTGAAAAGTTGGATGAAAGTTCCATATCACAACTACCGACGAAAGTTCCATTCATTAGTAATCTATTCATCATACTATATTATTAGCAAATAAATTATGGAAAACAAAATTTGTAAATGTTTTTCATAATTGTCCGTCGCATATTTTTGTCGACGACAAAAATAAACAATCGCTTCCCCAGCTAAGTGGGGGAAATCGAAAGCCTAGAGGACAAGTCACATGATATATTTTGATGCAATACATTTTGTGACTGCAAGAAAATGGATTGCACTCATCATCTCCAGTTCAAATGACGGCACTTGATGTGGAAAGTCAAATAACATTACTTGAGATGATCAATACAACCCACTTTTCTTCATACACAAAATGCAGCACCCATCTATCAAGTAAGCCGTAGCAAAATGGAAAAGGGCCGCAACACAAAGCAAAAGAAAAAGAACACCGACACAACACATGGAATCTAAGATGCATTAGGAGAAAGAAATGCCGCAACAAGCAGAAGACATTTAAAACAGGTCATTCAACAGTCTATTGTAGATACAAACTACAGTCGGAAACCAGAGATCTCCTTGATGCACCATCATGCGTGGAAAAAGAAAAAGAGAGAGAGAAAATGAAAAGAACACAAGCTAGTTGAGAAAAGAAGATATGGTAGGACACGGGAAATGGAAACGATGATTGAAGAAATGAACGGCATATCAGACAGAGGTGAGAAAATGGGACGAGAGAGGTTGACAGGGAGAGAGCGGTGAGGAGGGGGGGTTGTGGGATGAGAAAACTGGAGAATGAGAGGATGCGAGAATGAGTGTGTGGTTAATAGGAGAATGAGACAGTGAGAGAATAATAAAACCAGAGAATGAGAGAATGGTAAATGGAAGAATTGAGACGATGAGAGTGTCATAAAATCAGATAATCAGAGAATGAGAGAGTATTCAATAGGAGAATGAGACAACGAGAGAATTAGAAAATCAGAGAATGAGATAATGAGACAATGAGGGAACCAGAAAACCAGATGATGAGAGAATGAGAGAATGTGGGAGTGAATGGGAGAATGCGAGCATAAAGAAATTAGAAAATGATTGAGTGGGCTGATGTGTGAAAGGAGTGGGAAAATACGAGAATGTGATCTCGAGAGCATTAAAAATTTAGAGAATGAGAGAATGGTTTACGGGAGAAACGGACCATGAAAGAATCAGAAAACCAGAGAATGAGAATATGAGAGAGTTGTTAATGGGAGGATTGAGACAATGAGATAATTAAAAAAAAAAAAAAAAAAAAAAAGAGAGAGAATAAGGGAGGGAGGGAACAATGGGAGAATGAGACAATGAGAGAATCAGAAAACCAAATAATGAGAGAATGTTAGATTGCGAGAATGCAAGAATGTGAGAGCGAATGGGAGAATGAAATCATAAAGAAACCAGAGAAAGAGTGAGTGGGCTAGTGTGTGAAAGGGGGAGTGGGAAAATGGGAGAATAAGAAAAGAAAAAAAAACAAAACACAAACACAAGTTTAACGGTAGCGCACGGGAAATGGAAATGAGGATTGAAGAAACGAGCGACGTATCAGATAGATGTTCAACAAATGGAAAAAGAGAGAAAATAGGAAGAGGGAGAGAGAGAGAGAGAGAGAGAGAGAGAGAGAGAGAGAGAGAGAGAGAGAGAGAGAGAGAGAGAGAGAGAGAGAGAGAGAGAGAGAGAGAGATAGAGATGGAGAGAGAGAGAGAGAGAGAGAGAGAAAGCAAGAGAGAGAGAGAGAGAGAGAAAGGGAGAGAGAGAGAGAGAGAGCGAGAGAGAGAGAAAGAGAGAGAGAGAGAGAGAGAGAGAGAGAGAGAGAGAGAGAGAGAGAGAGAGAGAGAGAGAGAGAGAGAGAGAGAGGAGATAGAGAAAGAGGGAGAGAGGGGCAGAGAGGGAGAGGGAGAGAGGGGCAAAAAGAGAGAGGGGGAGAGAGAGAGAGAGAGAGAGAGAGAGAGAGAGAGAGAGAGAGAGAGAGAGAGAGAGAGGAGATAGAGAAAGAGGGAGAGAGGGGCAGAGAGGGAGAGGGAGAGAGGGGCAAAAAGAGAGAGGGGGAGAGAGAGAGAGAGAGAGAGAGAGAGAGAGAGAGAGAGAGAGAGAGAGAGAGAGAGAGAGAGAGAGAGTCCCTGCCAATCCCCTCATCAATCCCATCCCCCCTCCCCCCCCCGCAATCCCACCGTCAATGCCGCCGTCGCCAATCCCCTGTCAATTCCGTCACCAATCCCATTGCCATTCCCCTATCAATCCCGTCGCCATTCCATCCGTCAATCCCATCTCTATTTCCCCTGTCAATCCCGTTGCCATTCCCCCTATCAATCCCGTGGCCATTCCCCCCCAAATCCCATCGCTATTTCCTCCACCAATCCCGTCGCCATCCCCCCCGTCAATCCCGTCGCAATTCCCCCCATCAATCCCGCCTCTACTTCCCCGGTCAATCCCGTCGCCATTCCCCCCCGTCAATCCCGTCGCCATCCCCCGTCAATCCCGAGATTGAAACCCCTTACTAGAAGAGACAGAAAAATGAATTCAAAAGGAGATAGGGGAACCCATAGAATGACTTGCCTTGGGTAGGAAACTAGGTGGCGAGGTGGCGTGGCTGAAACAGCAATGTGAGAAGCGAAGGTAAGGACGGAGCGAGAAAAAGAAGAAACGAAACCCTAGGGAGCATTATCATTCGTAGCAAATACTAAAAGTGTATTTAGACTATTCTCTGAGCATGCGTCACAGAGTAGCTTAAAGTCGGGGTACACATTCCTGGAATTCTGATCAAATTATAAAAATTGGGATGGGGATTACCCAGTGACCACATCATGGGAAAAAGAACCTCGCCAGCCTAGGAACACATCGGGAGGTGCCATATGTGGGAATTCTGTACTTCAGATTCACTGCTTGAGTCCCCCCCTCCAACAATTTTGTTTCTCCCCACACCCCAAAACCCCTACCCTCTCACGCATGCATCTCGTTCCCCGCCCCCCAATTTAGAAAGTTTATCACATTTCGCGTGGGAAATTTCGACGCAAGACTTCCGCGAGCTGCGCAATTCCTCTGCGCCCTTCCGGTTCTTTTATTCCCTCTCAACCCAATGTTTACACAATCCCCACGAGACGAAATGCACGCGGACGCGAACCAATGAGAATGACTCGCTGTTCTCCAATCTCTCGCCACGCTCCTCACCCAATCCACGCGTTCCTCCACTGTTTGGCACTGTTCATTTCATAAATTTTCAAGGTGTACCGCAGCTGTAATGGGCGGCGCGTTTTAGTAAACCTCGATTTTCGAGCTGGCTCTGTCAAACCTGCAGGATAACCGATATACAGTGGTGAGAAACAGGGATGTATACAAACAAAATACAGTGACGGAAACAATTGTCCGGATGTATTGCATTAATGAGGGTTTTTGGGCTTTCCGACCACTGTACATAAAGTCTTAATGTTTCATGGTGGTACACTTTGGGATGGGCACATAATGGGCGTGTTCACTGTGCAGAAATCCATAATAGTACACTGGATCTAACTTAGTGCCAAAAGATATACAAAGAGTACATCCGGACAATTGTTTCCCAAGACAAAGAGCAAACTTCCTAACATCGTTTCTAGTACCTAGTCCACCAACCCTTGGCCTTGATCACCACCCGGACCCTCCTAGGCATGTTATCTACGAGGCTAGTACAAACCTTTGCAGGGATCTTCTCGCACTCTTCCTGGACCCACCCTTTTGCATAAAAGGGTGAGCACTAGGAAAATGACGAAGGATTTGAGCGTTACAAGAGTATTGAGCACGATTTCGTATTGAATGTTATCTCTGAGACTAACCATGCTGAGGTGTGGCCAAAGATGCCAGAAGTCGATTGGTCCCATCTTATGATGGATCGTCTTCGTCATACCGTTGTAGGGTAAAATTACGAGCAGAGTGGCGAAAACTAGCGTATCCGCCGCGAAACTTAGGGTAACATAGCACGGTCGACTATGCACCCTTGCACTATTAGAATCACGCTAGGATCTGTAGGTCTAGTCACGGTGCAGCAGTCAAAGAAGTCGCGACTATTCGGAAAGAATATCCGGGTTGAGGTCTGGTGAGGAAAAGGGTCACTCCAGCGCAACACACTCATGCTCTCCATTCCATTATAAGCCATGTGTCCTGTCTAGGCTTGGAATGGCTTGGAGAGCATGAGTATGTAGCACTGGAGTGACCCTCTTCCTCACCAGACCTCAACCCGGATATTCTTCCCCACCAGTCGAGGCTTCTTCGATTGCTGCATTGTGATGAGATTTGTGGATTATAATGTGATTCTACTAGTGAAATGGTGCACAGTCAACCGTGCTATGTTACCCTAAGTTTCGCGGCAGATACGTTAGTTTTCACCACTCTGCTCGTAATTTTACCCGACAACGGTACGACGAAGACGATCCATCATATGATGGAACCAATCGACTTCTTGCATCTTTGGCCACACCTCAGCGTGGCTAGTCTTAGAGATAACATTCAATTTGAAATCGTGCACAATACTCTTGCATACGCTCAAATCCTTCGCGATTTTCTTAGTGCTCACCCCTTTATACAAAACCGTGGGTCCAGGAAGAGTGCGAAAAGATCCCTGTAAAGGTTTGCACTAGCCTCGTACATAACATGCCTAGGAGGATGCGGGTGGTGATCAAGGCCAAGGGTCGGTGGACTAGGTACTAGAAACAGTGTTCAGAAGTTTGCTCTTCGTCCTGGGAAACAATTGTCCGGATGTACTATATGTATATCTTTTGGCATTAAGTTAGATCCAATGTACTATTATGGATTTTAACACTCTGAACACATCCACTATGTGCCCCTCCCAAAGCGTACCACCACCAAACATTAAGACATTATGTACAGTGGTTGGAAAGCCCAAAACCCCTAATTAATGCAAAAAAATCCAGACTGTTGTTTCCGTCACTGTAGAATAACACTTCATCAACAGTAAAATAACATCACATCAAATCGTAATAATCATAATCTTGATGTAAATTACAAGATAACATGCTTAAAATTGCAAAACAGACAGAGATAGCTCCGTAACCCTAAGACGATTTAGTCGACTCTTGTTTTATTTTTTGGGCAGGGAACTTTGCACTATAAAGTACAGCACAAGAGTAAGCCCTCAGTTGTAACTGCTTCTTAGAGGCCTAGGCGTGTAACGTCGTACCTCTACCGAGCTGCCAATGGAGGTTTGTGAATCATGCGCGGATTGGTCCAAATTGATTGGAAGTTCATGTTCCACATGATCCATTTCGCTCAGTTGTCCAAAATGCGGCTCAGTACCTGATCCTCCTCTTCTGTTGCGCTATCCCTCTCCCAATTTTTTTTACCCGGTCTGCCCCGGTAGTGTCACAGGATTGAATGAGGTTTGCTCAATATTGCACTATCAATCAGTACAAGTACTTTTATACTTCCAAAGTACATCAGGTAACCATGAATATTCTATCCAAAAAGAATAGACCCTTCTAGAAATAGAATCACCTTGCGTATAGCCACACGAGGCTATTGGCTTTAAGGGATTACGGTAAGATTACGCTAGATGTAGCGCGCCACTACATCCTAAGCCTGGTCGGTGATATAATGATTAAAAAAAAGGAATGACATGGAAAGGAAATATGGGAAGGAGGAAACTGGTGTAACGGGGTCGTACTCTCGCACTTCTCCCCCTCAAAGTTGGGTGGTAGAAATAACACCCGGCTTGACGCGGTGGTCGCGAAGAGGACGACGGGCATTACCCAAGTCGGATTCAGAGACGCAGCCTCCGAATGATAAAATCCCTTCCAGCAAAGAAGAAGCTTCAGGGGGCCATCCCGATGATGATGGTGTGCAAGGACAAACTCAACCTCATACGTGGGTTCAGCGTTGACGCGGACGGGTCGCAGCGGTTGGCGTTTGGTGTAGAGTATGCTCGATCTGAATAGGGTTGGAGAAGCTGGATGTGGAAGGCGTTATGGATCTTCCATGTGGCTGGTAGGCGTAAGTGGAAGGTGACTTAAGTGACATTTGCTTCAACAAGTTTAGACCCGCAAAAGCAAGGTTGAAGCTTGGATGGAAGATGGCTGATGTCGAGATTATGGTGTGGATAACTGTAGTGATGAGCGGACAAGTGATTCTGCTGTTGTTGGATGTCCAAGTGGTGTGTCCGGTGTTAGAGCTTATGGATAACGGTGATGAAATGGATTTGTCAGTTGCTGTGGTGTGAGCGGGTTGCGTCTGTTGCGAAGGAATAATGGTAATAATCCTGTCATACTCGAGGTGGCGTTGATGTAGACGCACTCCCATATCAGCGGCGTTGTGCAGAAGTTGATCAACAATCTGATTGAGCCACGCTGTATGTCCGTCAGTTTGTATGTGGTACGCGGATGGCGTTGATCGTGGTCGAGATGTTGTGTCATGAGATGTTGCTGAATAGTAGATGTGCTGCCATTTTGTTGCGTGCTGTAACTAGCACACTTTACGTCCAGTCTCTGGTAGCACACCCTGCCATTACATGCATCTCTTCTGCGTATGAAGATGACCAACTGTTGGTGGTATAGGAGTCGTGTCATAGTACTGCTTCTGTAGCAGTGTTGTAAGGGATACATGTAGCTTCTGTCAAATGCAGGTCCATGCCTTACTGTTGTCACGAGTCGTACCCTCTCGGCATCATAGTACTGTGGGGTGGAGAGCAAATTCACTGGTAGTAACTCGGTCCATCACATGGTCTGCTAGTCACACTGCCCTTAGTACAACATTGCGTACGAAGTGTCACTCAGCGTATCCCTTGTGTTTAAAACCATGCGAGGTGCTGGTACCATAAACGCGGAGCTGGTAACTTCTAGGATCGGCGCCAAAGTAGTTTCCCTCGGTGGTTGCTCAAGCAAGGAATCTCAGTTGCGTAGATATCCAACGGTGATGGGTTAGGATACTGGGAATTTTAGGGCTATTCTCAAATAATCCTATCCCATTTCCAAATGGGCATTGCTGACCACCAATCTAGCATGACCTTATGTACTTCCAGTTTAGCACGGAGGCCATCGGTAGGCATCGGTATCTGGGCACACATATTGGGATAGGTTTTCTGGTGCCATCATGTGTTGTCTCATTCTGTCACTATCCTTGAAGTAGCGTTGATGTCGAAGACATCTCAGCTACTCAGCATCAGTGTTGAAGTCTGCTCCATTTCGGCAAATAGGGGTGTTGTTGGAGATACGCGGAGTCCACTATCCAGAGTGGCGTCGGCGCTCCATTTCACACCTATCTGTTTTTGTGAAGGTGGTGCTGGTGATGGATAAGTTGTAACACATGTTTTTTGACTTTAAGGAAAGCCATAGGCCATGAGGACTTGGGTGCCGCTAGAGTACCGTAGTCCTCCCATCCTCATAAGAGCAGATATCTCCTGCTCTCGAGATTATATGACATTGCCATAGCAATTCCATTGCATAATGGTATCTCATTTCCACTAGCTGGAAATCAATGTTGTGCTTGGCCAGGACTTCACGATCATACTCAAATATTATCCAATGTTATCTCCATTGAGCCGAGAATCATCCATCAGGATTTGGTTGTGACTGTTGGGTCAAGTCTTCTACTGCGGCGGCGGTGACGGTAGCGACGATGGCGACAGCGGCAGCTACTGCAGAGAATTCTCTCAACTCCTAATGGTTGAAGGACAATCTATCAACTCCCTCTTCCCCGTAGAGTGTTCCTGATGGGTGTAACTGGAGTAACTACCAGGAATACGTACACATGTGTTGCTCCATTGGTGTCGGTGATGGTTTCATTTGAGGGTATGAGGAGAAATTTGCTTCTCCCCTCAATGTATCCACGGGTAGCAATTCCTGGTATGCTCATCTGTGCCTCCGATGTACGGTCAGTAGAGCACGTGAAAACCCGACCGTGGTTGGAAAAGCAAGTCCTTCAAGGACTCTACGTG